CAACGGCGGTGGCGGAAACAATAACAACAGAAACAATAACAACAATGGAGGAGGCAATAGGACGGTGGAGTTAGCGCCCCACCCGGTGAAAGAACAACTCCCCGGAATTCAGTATTGTGTCAACAGTCCTCCTCCTTGGCGTATGTTATTATTATAGAAAAAATCAAGTTTGGTTTTTAATTCAATTTTGGTGTTATAGTGTTGTGTGTGTAAATGAATGATTTTGTGTGTTGCAGTTGAAGCAGTATTGTTGGGTTTCCAGCATTATTTGTTGAGTCTTGGCATCACAGTTCTTATTCCAAGTATCTTAGTTCCACTCATGGGAGGTGGTGATGTAAGTAGATTGATCTAACATAATTTCTATGCGTTGTTATTTGATTTTATATGTTTTTTTTCCAAAATAATTTTTTTTTTCTTAAGATACGTAGTTTAGCAAAATTTAACATCTCTAAACATATATTTTCCATTACACAAAAAAAAAACATATATTTTCCATAATTATCAACAAATCTCGACGCATATACCATATACTTCACTTGTAGATTTTGGTTTTTGAATCATGATTTTGGAAAACAATTTAATCCTTTTTTCATGTCTTCCTTCACTTTTTGTTTGACGATTTTTTAATTTATTTCATAACATAATTTTGTTCTTATTATATTGCAACATTTCTCAGGGGGAGAAGACTAAAGTTATACAAACACTGCTATTTGTGTGTGGATTAACAACATTGTTCGAGTCTTTCTTTGGAACTCGATTGCCTGTGATAGCTGCTGCTTCTTATACCTATATCATACCTATCATTTCCATCATTTCCTCTAACCGCTTCAGTTCCTACACTGATCCTTTTGAAGTAAGCCTTAGCACATTAATCTCATCATTATAAATTAACTTAATGTTACTATAATAAAACTGTTTGATCAAATAATTAATCAGAGGTTTGTGAGAACAATGAGAAGCATACAAGGGGCTCTTATTATCACCGGTTGTTTCCAAGTTCTTGTCTGTTTCTTAGGCGTATGGAGAAATATTGTCAGGTAAATTATGTTGCTTTTACCTGATTGTAACTCTACAATTGGACATGAGTACATTTTTGGATTTGTGATCATTAGATTTCTAAGTCCACTCTCCATTGCTCCGTTGGCCACATTTACCGGACTTGGACTCTACCATATCGGCTTCCCTTTGGTATGTGTATATATACTCATTTTGGTCATTTACAATGTTAAATTGTTTTTGTTAATTATTTAATTTGTTTTGTATTAATATATTCTTTGTGGTGTAAAAATCTTCCATTTTTCAGTTGGCGAGATGCGTTGAAGTGGGACTTCCCGGGTTGATCCTACTTGTTTTTATCACCCAAGTAAAGCTCTCACATTTGCTTCTTTTCGTTTTAAATCCATACACCAAATAAATTTATTTTTTTGGGTTACATTTACATTTACATGTGAATTTTGTTATAAATAAATAAATTCACTTTCTAATTATTTTGTTTCCTTTAATTTTACAAAAAAAAAAAAATATTTGTCAAGAGTTTCTATTCCCATTGTGCTTGGATTTTCCGAGTACAATTAACAAAATATAAATTTTTAACATCAATTAAATTGTGTTTAATATGTAATATGTAAAAGTAATTATGTATTTATTTAGGGAAAAAATAACCTAATACAAAAACTGATGGAGACAAAATCTGTTACAAACACCTTTTTTTTTTTAACATGTGTTTTTTCTTTTCCGCAGTATTTACCGCGTTGTCTGAAGAGGAAGCAAGGAGTGATGCTTTGGGACGGGAATAGATGCGACCGGTATGGGATGATGATATGCATTCCAGTGATATGGTTATTCGCTCAGCTACTTACATCGAGTGGTATTTATGACCACAAGCCTCACACTACTCAAACTAGTTGCCGTACAGATCGTACTGGTCTCATCACCAACACTCCCTGGTCAGTTCTTCTGTTTGAATTTTTTTGGCGATTTTACTATTTCAATATTTTCAAATGTTAATTTTTTAATTTTCTTTTATATGAAAAACAGGATATACATACCATATCCTTTTCAATGGGGAAGCCCTACCTTTGACATCACTGATTCTTTCGCGATGATGGCTGCGTCTTTGGTCACTCTCTTTGAGGTTAGACTTCTGGTTTTTAACATGAAATTGATATTTTGAAATCATGAAAAAAGAAAAGATATTGAAAGAATAAAATCATGGAAAGTGAAACTTAATAATTGACTATGATTATAAATATGAAGAGTGTTAATGTTGTATTATTGTAGTCGACGGGTTTGTTCTATGCATCTGCAAGATATGGAAGCGCGACGCCGATTCCACCATCAGTCATTAGCCGTGGTACTGGCTGGCTGGTTAGTCTAACAACAATTTAATTAGTCACTTTTTGTTTGAACATTTTAACAGTTTATTAATCACTATTTCATCATCATATAAATATATGGATTGATATCTTGTAGGGAGTTGGAGTATTACTCAACGGCATGCTTGGAGGTGTCTCAGGGATTACAACATCAACGTAACAAAAATTCATCTATAAAC